TAACTTGAATCTCTGAGGGCAAGTCCCTTTCCTTCCTCTCCACCCCATGCCACACTTCCAAGGGTTTTTCTCTTTCTCCAGTTCTGGATGCTGCAGAGAACTACGGTCCTTGGGTGCGGGGCCAGCACCCACTATATCTCCTGTTTATATTTCTGTACTGGTGCCAGACAAAGTGACCAGCTGTTCTGGTTTTATAGGGACAGTCCCAATGTGTGAGGCTTTGTCTCAGGCTAGAGGCCTGTTACCCCTCACTCCATTCCAATTTTTCACACTTGCTGTATAGTCACCCAAGCGTCAGGAACCAAGCTGGAAACTGCAGTTGCTGGTCTTTGCCTGTTGCAGTGGTGTATGCACTGCTAGAGACATTGGCAGAGATTCTGTGAGAGGGGAGGTTATGCCCCCAGAGAATTGATCCCCTGGCCAGACTGAGTCCCTTCCTGATCCTGGCCCTTCAGTGCAGCTCCCTTCAGACACATAGCTCTGTCCTCTTACCCTGCCCAACAGAGCCTGCACAGGGAAAGCAGACAGCACCACTCCCCAGGGCTGAAGTCAGCAGGGGCCAGTACTCAACGGTGCATCTTCACACTCCCTGCCCAACCCTGGTCCTTGAGCATGGCCTCATCTGCTTTTCCTGCACAGCACTGAAGGGCCCAGGTTAGGAGGAGAGTAGAAAGATGCTCCTGTGAGTACTGGCCCCCTGCTGTTGGATTATGGGATAAAAGGGATCCTGTGCTGATTTAGTACTGGACAGGCAATTTTCTATTTAAATAAGGGACATCCCTTGTAATACTGGACTGTTGGCAAGCCCAGCCTGGATAGCAGGTTAGGTTCATTTGCTCTGATGCTGGTTTTGGACTAATGGGTTCTGCGACCCTGCAAGGTGAGAGAACATAAATGTAACCTGGCCTGAGACCCAGACCTCAGGAGCACCAAGAAGAGAATGCAATGCCAGGAGCGCTCTGGGACGGTGAGTTGTGTTACACAGTTTGTCTACAATTGAAAAAAAAAATGGGTAGTGGGATTGGCTAAATGCTGCACCCTATCCAGCCCCCACACCCCCGCCCTAGTTTTTTCCTCTCCTCGATGCCCTCTCTACTATTTCTGTGGAGAAGTAAGAGACAGAAAGGGGAGATGGGAGACTCAGAGTCCCTTCCTGTTAGGGAAAAGGAGAGTTCGCTTCCTTACTCCCCAGCAACTTGGCCTGCATACAGGTTTCAGCATTGGTTCCTTCTGCCTTCCTCCCAGTGAGTGGCTCTGTGGTGATTTTGGATCTCTTTTCTGTCAAAAGCGCTGCAGCTGCTGCACACTGGGACTACATCTTCATTGGCATGATCTTGCGCAAATACTCTTTAACGCAAGGGTTCTTGCATTAAAGTATTTGCGCAAGAGAGTGTCTACACTGGCATGTGGGTTTGTGCAAAAGCATCCGTGCCAGGGTAGATGCTCTCTTGCGCAAGAAAGCTCCGATGGCCATTTTAACCATAGGGCTTTCTTGTGCAAGAAATTCATGTTGCCTGTCTACACTGCCCTCTTGAGCAAGAACAGTTGTGCAAGAGAGCTTATCCCTGAGCGGGAGCATCATAGTTCTTGCGCAAGAACTCCCTGCCAGTGTAGACAGGCAGCATGTTTTTGCACAAAAGCAGCTGCTTTTGTGCAAAATCATGCCAATGTAGATGTAGCCCTGGATTGTCTGCAGGAAGGGAAGGTTTGGTACTATGAGTTGCATTGTGAGTCTCTTCCACAATACTCTGAAGCATCCATTACCAGCCACAGGATTGGAGACAGGATGCTGGACTAGTTGGGCCATTGGCATTTCCTGTGTTTCAAGAAGCTCTATCTAAGCAAACACGAGTTTGAAATCTCACAGAAGTTAAGAATCCATTTCTATGGCTGGTGTAGTCAGTTCCAGATGAGTTTATCGGACAATCAGACATTTTAGGGAGAAGTGAGAATTTATCATAATGCTCATGTGGAATGCAGTGGAGGAACAGTTATTTCTTGTATAAAAATGTGATTCTTAGGTGGCACAATGGATCTGAGTTCCCTATATTTCTGAGTTTAGATGGTTCAATAGGTTCTGCATGGGTTATGAAAAGGTATATTCCATCACCATCCCTTGTCCAACTGGACAGTGGTGCATTTTCATCATCAAAGCAGGGTGTTTTTTTAATAAGAAATTATTTTCTCAGAGTGAAATCTTAGATGGCACATGAGTTATTCTCATCCTCAGGTTGCGTCTTCACAGCAGGGCTTAACATGAAATAAGCTATGCAAATTGAGCTACGTAGCTTATTTGAAAATAGCTTATTTTGAAATTGGGAGTGTTTACACAGCACTTCTTTCAAAATTAAGCTCTCTTCCTCTGACTTCCCTTACTTCTCATACAATGAGGGTTATAAGAGTCAGAGTAAGAAGTCCTCCAGCTTGACAGTACAGGCAGTCCCCGGGTTACGTACAAGATAGGGACTGTAGGTTTGTTCTTAAGTTGAATTTGTATGTAAGTCGGAACTGGTACATATTGTAGGGGAAACTCTAGCCAAACATTTCTCCAGAGCTCAGTTTTATTCTCCCACACCTCACTTCCCTCAGTCCTTTATTCTCAAGCTGAGGTGTCTGCTGAGAAAAGCCGCTCTGCGTCTCCCTGGTCTGCTGGGGGGGGGGAGCACTAGCTTCGCGTCTCTCTAGTCTGCTGGGGGGAAGCAGCTAGTGCAGGGTTGCCTCACCCCGTTTGTAAGTAGGGATCTGATGTAAGTCGGATCCATGTAACCCGGGGACTGCCTGTATTTCAACATTATTTTGAAATAATTGCCTGCTGTGCAGACGCAGACTAAGTTATTTCGAAATAAAGTTGCTGTGTAGACGTACCCTCAGTGTCCACAACTAAAACTCTGGATAAACTGGCTAAGCAGCTAGGAAAACAAATGCCCTGAAGAGATTATAGGAAGCTCTCAATAAAATACTGAAATGCTACAGGGTTGTGCTCATCAGGAATGAGGCACAATTGCAGAGCTGTGTAAGAAGCCCAGGACTGGGAGGGTGGCACATAAGATTTGCAGGACGTTAGAAGTCATGTGCAGGAATCCCAGAAGTGGCACAGCAAGAGACGCTGCAGGGCAGGGAAATGCTGAGCTATGCAGGAAGAGTTGTGTGGGAGGCCTAGAACTGGCTGCGGGTTAGGATGAAGCAAAAGGAAAATCAGAGACAAATAAGCCAGAACATGCGAAGACTGATCAGACATCATTTTCTTTTAATGTTTTGGTGTGCGTTATATCGAGTATAATGTTTAGACAGTGTTTTCCCGGGGGAATTCCACTTACAATGTGAGATTTAAGCAACAGCAAAAGTTTCTAATGCATTCCCCCAGACTGTGTGAACATGAGATGTAGATATACTGTACAGTAACTATGTAATATATTTATATATATATATATATATATAAATATATTACATAGTTACTTAATTCTATTTCCAAGAGCTCCTTCTAACATTTTTCTTTCCACCCACCCTCCTCCAATTGGCAGGACTCTCTTTAAGGCCCTGATCATGCACCATAGAAGTCAATAGGAAATTTACCACTGACTTCAATAGGAACATGATCCTAGGTTTAAGTCACCTCTCCCTGATGCAGCAAGCATCTGCTCTCTATATCAACTCCTCCTCTGCATAGGGCAGAACTCTGCCCCACTGTGTAGTGAGTCTCTATGTATATGGAGGAACTCTACTCTCTGTATAGGAGAACCATGCCCCTACAGTTCCCAGGGACAGGTCTACTCCCTGTTTACTTTGGAACTTGATTCCCTATAGTGGCCTGTAGAGAAAAATTCAGCCCCTGTAGAGCAGAGCCCTATCTCTACATAGGAAAAATCTGTCTCTACATTGGAGTATCTTCCATATTTTCTCCCATTGCATGCGCCATGCCCCTTATCTTTTATAGGTTCCTTAAGCCACCTTAGCAGTCTCTCTTGTGGCTCTCACCACTCCTTTCTTGGGCTATCCACACAGTTACAAAATAACCGTTTGTCTGCTATGAAGAGTCTGTTATGTAGGGCAACTTTTTCCTTATATAGCAGAATTCTTCCTGTATCTAGCCACATCTGCCCCTTTAGGGTGCATCTACACTGTCTCGAAATAAGCTACGCAATTTGCGCTACCGGAGGTATCCCAAAATAGTGCTGCAGTGTAGACCTAGCCTGAATGACCCCAGCTGACTCGGTTGCCATAGTTAAATTGCAGTGCTGTAGTGATTAAGACCCATCGATATTGTAACAGAGTGGCTTGCCTCAGGAGCTGGAGAGTCTGGGTCAAATACAATCCTATGATGAAATGAGCCTCACCTCAGGGGACTCGGGCATTTCAATACAGAAGGTGTTGGTAGGGCTCTGCTTGAGAGTTAGTGAGTGGGCTGTGCCACATGGGGCTGGGATGGGGGAGGGATTATGATTTTGACTTTATAGTGGGGCCTGATGGAGGCATGTTCGGGTTATTTTGTGATTAAGGACTCTGAGGTCTGTGTGAACTTTGTTTGACAGGAAGCTGGACAGAATGGTCTACACTATGACTGGAGATGGATCAAAGTTATATGCAATTTCAGCTATGTAAATAATGTATCTGAAGTCAACATTATTCAAATAATGTATCTGAAGTCTAGACTACATGCCTCTGTCGCGGATTCATTTAAATTTACATGGCTGCCGCGCTGAGCCGACAAACAGCTGATCAGCTGTTTGTCCACTCAGCACGCTAGTCTGGACGCTCCCCTGTCGACATCAAAGCCCTTTGTCGGCAGCCCAGGTAAACCTCATTCCACAAGGAATAACGGGGCTGCCGACAAAGGGCTTTGATGTCGACAGGGGAGCGTCCAGACTAGCGTGCTGAGTGGACAAACAGCTGATCAGCTGTTTGTCGGCTCAGCGCGGCAGCCATGTAAATTTAAATGAATCCGCGACAGAGGCATGTAGTCTAGACTTCAGATACATTATTTGAATAATGTTGACTTCAGATACATCCTTACCACAGTGTCTTCCATGTGATCTGTCGATTGGAGACACTCTTCCATGGATTCCCCTTGCGCTTCTTGTTGAGGTGGAGTGCTGGAGTCAACAGGAGAGCGATTGGCAGTCAATTTATCGCATCTGTACTAGACTCAATAAATCAACCCCTGCTGAATCAATCATTGCTCCATCAATCCTCCCCATAGTGTAGACAGAGCCTGAGAAAGGAGTGATTCTAGCCACAACAGAGACTGCTGAGGTGGCTTAAGAAACCTACAGAAGATAAGGGGCATGGTGCCTGCAAGGCAGCCCCTGGCCAGGATGGGGTGCTGAATAAGTGACCACACCACTGTAAGTATATTTCACAAACCTCCTCCTACTCTGCCCCAGATAACTCAATTCTGCCCCAGACCACAATAGAACAACCCAGTGCGAGGGGAACAAAATCCCTTCCAAACAGCTGGTTTATCTCTGCACGTGTGCCTACCTCTCTGACCATGGGGTTCTTAGCCTCTTGCACTGTGCGGGAAGGCATAGCCACAGAAGCAGCAGGAAATCCTGGGCATCCTGCCTATGACCAACAGATGGTCCCCTCTTTTTTTCCACATTCCAACCCAACACACACATTCACTGCCTGCTGCAAGAACTCCTGGAGCTGGGGTAGGAGAGGAATTCCCCAGAGATTTTTAAAGCAGTGTGACATTATAATTCATGGGTATAAACCTGGGTGAACCAAGATTTCCCCACGTTATTCAGGACAAACCAGTTCTTTTCCTCAAAGACCCAAATGTTCCATGACCCCCACACCAGGAGGTACCTAGTTCCCAGACCATGTCCATGATGCACCAATTCTTCACCTTTGCCCTTTCCTGGCACAGGAGCTCAACTTGCCAAACAGACTCTGACTGTAATTGGCATTTGCTTGGACTTTCTGCAGTAATACTTTCTCTGTGAGTCTCCTGGGTGTGGGATAGAGCTGAGGGATGCAGGAAGGGTGGGATAGGAGGCAGACATTCTTGTCAAATATTACATCCATATGGTGAAAAATAGATTGTTCTGCTAACCAAAGATTCTTCAGTAAATACTGTTTCTATGACAGAGGCAGATGGATTGTAACAAAGGGATTCAAAGCTTCCTGTGCTTATATATGAACTACTGCCAACGGTAGTATTGGATAGTCTTGTCTTGGATTATAGGTGGGGTATGTCTAGGTTTAATTGTCAGCCCCAGACTTGTCATTTATCTGGCACTGCCAAACACTGATAGCAGTGTACAAATCGTCATGGAGTCTCCTAGGGACTAGTACTAGGCTGCCAGTTAGTAAACTGGTGTCTTGGTCCCCTGAGACTGGGGTGTGATTGTCTAAGGATTTTTACTCCAAGGCCACACAAGAAACAGAGATTTGACTCCTACTACTGAAATGCTACTGCGGGCACTAGACCACCAGGGGCTGAGAGAGTTGTAGTGGGTGGGGCCAGCAAACTAGGACTTATTGAGTTGTGCAACCTTGCAGAACTGTCAGGTTCACTGCATCCAAGAAGTGCTGTGGTGATCAGGCCTTGGGCTCTTTAAGGGTTTGCGCACTGTCGGAGACCTCCGTTCTGTCCCCACCTTAATCTCTCCCTGGGGGTGGGAGCAGGGAAGGGGCAGTGCAATTATAAAAACTGCTGGGAAATGGGCTGCTCAAGGCCTATTAGATCAAGTCTGGGATAAGAACATGAGCATCCTTTAGATGATCCAGCAGCCACTAGCAGAGATAGGATCCCATGCACTGCAGCACCCGAGGAAGGAGAGGGGAGCTGGTTTGCAGGAGGGCCAGTAGGACTTGTCGTAGATTGTAGGTGGTGGGTTGATAATGATTCTCCTCCTCCCTTTCCCCATCTCTTTCCTACTCTTTGTAGCTCATGGAGCAGCAGGATTATTCAGCTCCTTGTTCTTGGCCCATTGGCAAGGAGGACCACGGGGCTGACCGGAGCGGCGCATGCGTCGAGGGGGGAGGCCAGCCAGCTGGCGGCAGATCTCATCTGGAGACAAAGAAAAGAATTGCAGAGAGACAAGAGATGAAGGATTAGGGCTTCGTTCAAACTCAGTTCATCACATAAAAACTATCAATAGAACTCTCACATTGCTCATATAAACTTATGATGGACACTGATTTAAATGGGACAAAGAAACAAATTCTGATGACTTTACTCAGAGTTTATACTGGCAGTATGAAGGCAGAATTTCCACTGAAGTCACTGGACATTTTGCCTGGATAAAGACGAAGGGTGTTTTTTTGAGAGGGCAGTGGAGGGTGGGACTGCAGCCAGGGGTACCAGGACTCCGTTTGTTCTTCTCCTCATTCCCCTGATTATCAGGGAGTGAGGCTCTCCCATAGTTTTATGGGTTCTCTGGGACTAACAACAATAAAAATATGACTCCTAGGGCTGGTGCACAAACACATTTTTACTGCTTTGACTATACCCATTTTAATGGACACAGGCATAGTGTATAAAGGTATAAAGGTGCTTACATTAGTATAGCTTATAGTATGTAACTAATTCCTGCAAATTGGCCAAAATAAACTATATTTGCATGTAAGTACTTGCATATCTATATTACTTCATCCACACTTCGGGTTAGGGTTAGATGAGTGGGAAGGCCTTTATAACTGATATGGATAAATTAGTACAAACACTGTGCCTTTAAACAGGTCTTAGTCAAATTGGCAGAACCCTTGCGCAAGATGTTTTTGCGCAAGAACCCGCCAGTGTAGACATAGCCATTGTGTGAAGGCTGATTCACCAAAACAGAGGGGGAAACTGAAGCAGCAACAGGTAGGGTGGCCAACTTCTAATTACACAAATTAGAAGTTGTCCTGCCCCACCCATTCTGAGACCCCAGCCTCCACTCACTCCCCCCCCCCTTCTCACCTTCACTCTCTTTCACTGAGCTGGGGACAGGGATTGGGATGTGGGAAGGAATGAAGGCTCAAAGGTGGGGCCAGCAATGAGGGGTTCAGGGTACAGGACCTGTTACAGATTGGCTTGGCTATCCCTTTGAAACATATCTATTCAATGTCTTCTTCCCCCTCCTCCCTCCCGCCATTTTTTCCTTCCCTCCCCTTCCCTTATTAATTCTTGGTTCTGGACTTCCAACTCTCTGGTCATCTGAAGAAGTGGGCTGTGCACACGAAAGCTCATGATCCCATCTACATGTTTTGTTAGTCTTTAAAGTGCTACCAGAGTATTTGTTGTTTTTTAAGTTTTTCTTGTTACAGACTAACTCCAATACCCCTCTGAAACTCTAGTAGATTAGTAAGGCATAATTTACCTTTACAGAAACCAAGTTGACTTTTCCCCAACAAATTATGTTTTCTGTGTGTCTGACAATTCTATTATTAACTACAGTTTCAACTAATTTGCCTGGTACTGACATTAGACTTACCAGTCCGTAATTGTCAGGATCACACCTAGAGACCTTTTAAATATTGGTGTCACATTAGCTATCTTCCAGTCATTAGGTATGGAAGCTGATTTAAAGGATAGGTTACAAACCACAGTTAATAGTTCCGCAATTTCACATTTGAGTTCTTTCAGAACTCTTGGGTGAATGCCATCTGGTCCCAGTAACTTGTTACTTTTAAATTTATCGATGTTGTTCCAAAACCTTCTCTAATGATACCTCTGTTTGGGACAATTCCTCAGATTTGTCACCTATAAAGAATGGCCCAGGTTTGGGAATCTCCCTAATATCCTCAGCCATAAAGACCGAAGCAAAGAATGAATTTCATTTCTCTGCAATGACTTTATCATCTTTGAGTACTTAAAAACATTTTGCTATTACTTTTTGAGGTTTTAGCTAGCTGTTCCTCAAACTCCTTTTTGGCTTTTCTTATTATACTAGCCAATTAGCCCGTCATAAGATGGGATTTTTCAGGTCTCTCCTCCACGTCGGTCTTCTGAGCCTCCGGTCTCTTGCGCCGTCTCTCTCTCTCTCCTCCTCCTGCTGCCTCCCCCTCTCTCTCAGCTCTCCTCCACCTTCTGCCTCTCTCTCCATCTCTCTTTCTCTTCTCCCCCTCCTGCCTCTCACTCTCTCTCCACTCTCCTCCGTCTCCGTCGGGGATGCATGCTCGCCCAGGCCCTACCCCCTGGCTGTGTACAGCAGCACCCCGCCCCCCTTTGCCTCCCACCGTGGCGCTCGGCTGACTTCTGCGCCGCTCAGCCAGGTCGTCGCAGGGGAGCAAGCGGCCGTTTGGGATCCCCCGTGGCGGCCCGGCTCAGCAGTGCAGAAGTCAGCCGAGCGCCACAGTGGGAGGCGAAGGGGGGTGCAAAGGGGGGTGGGGCGGTGACGTACACAGCCAGGCCTCACCCCCTGGCCATGTACGTCACCACCCCGCCCCTTTCCCCTCCTGCCATGGCACTCAGCTGACTTCTGCGCCACACAGCTGGGCCGCCACAGGGGAGCTAGTGGCGCAAGCGACCATTTGGGCTTCTTGCTCCCTCGCAGCGGCCTGGCTGAGTGGCGCAGAAGTCAGCGGAGCACCATGGTGGGAGGCGAAGGACGTGACTCAGGCAACAGCGCCGCCCAGAGGGAACAGCCAGCATTTCAGAGTCACAGACATTGGGCTACTATATATATGATTTTTACACTTAATTTGACAGAGTTTATGCTCCTTTCTATTTTCCTCACTAGAATTTAACTTCCACTTTCTAAATGATGCCTTTTTACCTGTCACTGCTTCTTTTACTTTGTTGCTGAACCAAGGTAGCACTTTTTGTATTCTTTTACTGTATTTTTTAATTTGGGGTATATATTTAAGCTATTATGGTTTCCATGCAGCTTTCAACAATTACTCATACAATTACTCATATGAAGGAAAGCACACCTGAACAACTGCTGCCCTTCTCCATGGAGCTCTGCCCTGCAGTTCCTCTGTCCCACAGCACCTCTGCCCAGCCATCACTCACCTTGCATGAATTCATCCTCTTTGCAGATCATACGAGAGCACACCTCCTTGTTTATTATGTACATGCGACGCACACTGAGGGGGTGAGTGGCACCAGAACCATGTCAAGGATGGGAGAAAGATAGAATGAGAAAGAGATGCATGAGAACAAAAAGTGATATAGACAATAATGATTCAAATAAGGAAGTAAATCCTGAGTTCTACTCAGTTTTATTAAGGCAAAACACCTATAGATGTCAACAAGGCATTTTGCCTGTGTGGATACTTCAAGATTTGGCCTAATATGTAAATTAAATAATAATTAATAGCTCACAGAACATTTTACAATTTCAAAGGGTCACAACTATCTTAAGGTATTACTCTGAATTAATTAGGAGGCTGGAGCACATGACTTATGAGGAGAAGCTAAGGGATTTGGGCTTATTTAGTCTACAGAAGAGAAGAGTGAGGGGGGATTTGATAGCAGCCTTCAAGTTCCTGAAGGGAGGTTCCAATGAGGATGGAGAGAGGCTGTTCTCAGTAGTGACAGATGGCAGAACAAGGAGCAATAGTCTCAAGTTACAGTAGGGGAGATCTAGGTTGGATATTAGGAAAAACTGTTTCACTAGGATAGTGATGAAGCACTGGAATGGCTTATGTAGGCTAGATCTACACTGCAAAGAAAAGTCGGAAAAAGATTCATGAATTGTGAACCACAATTTGTGTATCTTTTTCTGCTTTTCTTTCGAAAGGGGCTTTTCCAAAATTTGGCCTGTCTACATGGTGCCAAATTTCAGAAAACTCTCCTCTTTCAGCACATCCATTCTTCCTTGTAGAAAGAATGCATCCACTTTTTTGGAAATTGTTCTGAAAAAGCAGATGTGTTCCTTGTATGCGGCAAAGCTCTGCAGTCTAGACATAGCCCTAGGGAGGTGGTAGAATCTCCTTTCCTAGAGATTTTTAAATCCTATCTTGACAGAGCCCAGGCTGGAATGATTTAGTTGGGATTGGTCCTGCTTTGGGCAGGGGGTTGGGCTTGATGACCTCCTGAGGTCTCTTCCAACCCTATGAATCTCAATTTACTCTCTCGGGATTCATTTCACCCACTTCTCTTCCCTTGTAGGGATAGAACCCTTGGGCCTCTGTAGGGAACATACTTTCTGATCAGGACGTGCCCTTTGTGATAGTGACTTGGTTTTTCCTTCTGGGGGTTGTAGGCTTCTTACCTGGTAACACACAGGTATTTGATACACTGCTTCACAGGTTTGTGAACAGAGTATAGGCGTGTGCAAGGGAACTGCTCTTCACGGCATTCTGGAAACACACACAGGTGCAAATGAATACCAATGGCGATTGGAATGTAGATGTAATTTCACTAAGCACTGGACTGCAAGCCTCCCTTCATTTTACAAAAGCCTCCAAACTGGGGCTGGATTGTATCTAGTGCTCAAGAGATGAAAGGCTCCATATCCCATTTCCTGATATCTTTGAGGTACGAGGACTGTTTAGAAAAGAGAGACCTTGATAAAGGTGTTGTACTAAATGACAAATGGTTGATAGGATGAGGATAAGGCATTTCTGTCCCCACACTTAGCTCATATTACAAAAACAAGACAACATACATTACAGTATACAAGGAACCTGTGGGAGTCGCTAACACAGAATATTACTCAGAGTTTAGAATAATTCTGAATAGACGTTTATATAAATAATATAATCTGCAGTTCTACTATTTAAAATGTAAATGTATTAAAAATATAAAATCTCATGCTTAAAGTTATAACTCATGCACTTTTCTTGTGGGGTCAGGAAGAAACTGGTATGGGGTTTCTTGAACATAAGAATGGCCATTCTGGGTCAGACTAATGGTTCATCTAACCCAGTATCCTGTCTGCCGACAGTGACTAGTACACACACCTCCTTCTGAAGCATTTAGTAATGCCCAAATTGATCTGGTCAGGTCATGTTTAATCCAACCTGGCAATTTGTGTGTTCCCACTGATCTGTGCCTAGATAGGAAATGGTATCCTAAAAGTGACAGGTTCCATGTCCCATACTTTGAATCTCCAAACTAAGCATACCTGGTATTGTTGTACTGCCAGCCGGAACTATAAAACAAAGAATCGTGCATTTTGGATTATTTGCTATGCTTCCAAATAGACAGTAAGAAACAGGGGCCTTTGAGTTTAAAGGAAGGCATCTAGGGAATGTCTTACCCAAGGGACAGTAACTCTTGTAACAGCAGTATTCTTTGACCACTCATGCCCTGTGATATGGGTACTGGAACTCCCAGAGATGGGGACACACTCCTACTAATAGTGCAACTCTTCTTTACCCTTGATCAAACCCTTCTTTAGGGTGTCAGCCTTAGGTACCCACCCAGCCACAAGCCTGAAAGGAGATGATGTTAATGTCTCCTTCAGAAGACATTTATCATTTATATTAACACTGCAGTTGTATGCACCTTGTTCATCTGCTACTGTGTCAGCCACACCTGTTGACAAAAAACAAGTGTGTAAAGAAAGAGAAATTTCTGGAGAATTAGAACTGGAGCTAGGAGTAAGGAAGAAAGTGGGACTCTGAGTATGAGGTGAAGGACTTTGCTAGTGGTGATACAGTTGGGAGTAGGGATCAGGAAAACGAAGGCCCAGAGTGGTCCCTCTTTTGCCAAAAGAATGAACTTACCAGAGACATCAGTGGTTATTTCAGGTAAAACTGGAAAAAGAGAAAATGTTCTAAAAAATCCTTCCTTGAGTTTTTGGTCCTCCTCCCAATTCTGCCAGTGCCCCTCAGCCCTGCCTTGCAGGCCCCTGCTATTCCAGCCCTGGGCTCCCCACACAGCCCTGCCAGTACCCCTCAGTCCTGCCCTGCAGCCCCCTGCTATTCTATCAATGAAGTCTCTCTATATGCTGGATTTTGTATGCTGCATACTAAAAAAGGTCTAAGTTTAGACCCAATAAAAGTCCTTCCGGTTGTGTCCTTCTGTTCCCTTTGAGCCTAACTCACCATGGTGAAAAGCTGAAGCCTAAATTCCCCTTCTAAACAGCTTCACCACTCATTTACATCAAGCAAACACTATCTATCTGCTCTTCTCCCTGAGGCTACGTCTACACTGTGAGCTGAGGTATGATTCCTGGCTGCCATGCACTTACCCAAGCTAGCTCGATGAGAGTTAGAGCATGTACAAATCCAAGTTCAGCCATGGTTTCACAGGCAGCAGCAGTGGTGGTGTGGCTTAGCCACGCTGAGTATGTGTCCATGGGTTTCAGGTGGGTTTGTACCCAGCGCTGCCTCTCCCCATGCTACCGTGGCTACACTACTATTTACACTAGCACTAACTCTCATCAAACTCATATGAGCACGTGTACACAACATGGTGATCACACCCCTGGCCTAGAGTGCAGCGTGCCTGATTTTCAGTCTTTCTCTAGCATTTTTAAAGTATTCTTTGCCATCCTAGCTAGGTGGACTGAGCAGTGATTATTTTGTAAAGAAAGAGAGATTGGGGCTCACAAAAGTTTTTCTCCTTTCATAACTGACATGGCTGTTGCCAAGGCTATGAATTGCCTGCCACCCCTAGAGGTACTGGAACTCAGCCCTGGCTCAAATTAAACACTGAGGCTACGTCTACACTGGCCCCTTTTCCGGAAGGGGCATGTAAATTTCACTAGTCGTCGTAGGGAAATCCGCGGGGGATTTAAATATCCCCCGCGGCATTTAAATAAAAATGTCCGCCGCCTACTTTGAAGTAGGAATAAGAGCCTCCGGAAAAGGGCACTTTTTCCGGAGGATCGGGGCCAGTCTAGACGCTCTTTTCCGGCTTTTTTAAAAGCCGGAAAAAAGCGGCGGACATTTTTATTTAAATGCCGCGGGGGATATTTAAATCCCCCGCGGATTTCCCTACGACGACTAGTGAAATTTACATGCCACTTCCGGAAGAGGGGCCAGTGTAGACGTAGCCAAACATTAATAAAAGCACGAATAAAAAGGGTGGCTTTAGCCTGATGCCGAAACAACGCTAGCATTGGCGCCATGCAAATATACCGAGGAAGAGAATTTCACAGCCTGGGAGCAAAAACTGAGAAGGCCCTGTTCCGTGTAGATGTTGATCTTCTCTCGTGTGGATAATCAGAAACAGTGAGATCCTTCTAGAAGAGACCATTTCCAGACTACTCTTCATTTTATCTTCTATATATTTTATAAATGTAGGTCTGTCTGTCTTTCCATCCATCAGTGAGTCTGCTTCCTCCAGAGCTCCTCTTAAACAGTAAGAATTAGAACCACCAAATTCAGTAGGCAGCTTCCGCTCATCCTAACTTAAAACAAGGTCAGGGTTTGGTTGTGCCAGGTCAGTGGGACATGCCTGGAATTTAATCCTGTCTCATAAAATGGAAAGGAGTCTGGCAGGAAAGACATGGCAGAATGACCAGAGGGGGCCAGAGATTGGGATGGGGACAGCTATAATCCCATTAGGTCAGCAAGGGGCAGGGATGGAGAAAGGGACAGCTATCTACTATATATTTCAGAGTGTTTGTCTGTTTGTGTATCTGTTTGTCTGTGTGTCTGTCTACCCCCCAGCTGGGGGACATGCACCTCTCCCCCAGCTGTGCCCATGGTAGCTTTACAGCCATGGACAGGCACTTCTCACCTGGCCCCAGGCTAGTGTAGTGAGAGAAGGCTGGGGTTGTCCTCTTTCCCAAAGGCAGTCTGCACACTGAATATCTCATCCCCAGCCCCACCCCAGAACAATGACTGAAATGAAGAAAAACAAAATTTATTTGAGTTAAGGACCCGAGCAACACTGGGTAAAACGTCTAGTTAGTACATAATTGTTTGTTCTAGCTGTGGGCTTTTCACTATGAATGTGCTGTAGGTTTTCTTCTATCCCAGGACCTTGGGAAATGCTGCAGGGAGAGAGGTTGACCCCAAGAAGATCAGGGAAGGACTCTAGAGGCCAGGGGGCTTTGTGGCCATGGTTCTCAGCAAACAGGAGCTGGGGAGCCAGCAATGAGGGCAGGGGCAGCACACAGATCTTCGTTGATCGCCCCTCCACCTAGGGACTGCAGAGTCATACTGTACGTTTCCGGGGGTTGCGGAGATCCAGGGCAGGTATGGAGCCTGCCTTAAGCCTGCTGCACTGCCATCCAGACTTTTAATGGCCCCGTCAGCTGTGCTGACCAGCGCTGCCAGGGTCCCTTTTCAACTGGGTAATGCAGCGGAAAAACGGATATCTGGCAACCCTAAGTGGACTAGATGATGCTACTGTATTTTCCGGCGTATAGGGCGACTGGGCGTATAAGACGACCCAGCAGACCAGAGGCACCGGGAGCAAAGCCGCAGAAGCTTTGAAAGCCTCGGGGGAAGCCGGCGGGGGGGCATCCCAGGCGCGCCTGGGATGTATACCCGGCGTACAAGACGACCCCCGATTTTTGGGGGATGTTTTTCAACATCAGAGGTCATCTTGTACGCCGGAATATACGGTATTTGCCATGATGAACCCCTAAGATAACATGAACATACACTCGCTCACTGACCAGCCTTGGCTCTCACAGCAGCATAGTGCTTTGCACGCAAAAACTGAATTATTACTCATCTTGCTCTGAGCCAGGCCTGCCAATGGGGGTGGGAGGGGAAGTGGGAGAGGACGGGGAAAGGGGGCAGTTGCCCCAGGGCCTGTTGATTCAAAGGGGCACAGGGCTTCCAACTGCCACCACTACTACTGCAGCAGTGGTGGCAGCCAGAGCCCTGGGCCTGTGAAATCAGTGCTGGGGCACCGTGCCGTGCACTCTGGGTGGCTCTGAGAGCTAGGGAGGTGCGGCAAGCTCTGGGCAACATGGAAGACTGGCTGCCCCGGCTCGGTCTCTTCCACCCGAGGCCCCACCCCTTCCAAGAGCACAGAGCTGGCCCCCCACCTTGCATAGGGGCCCACGGAAGCTGTCGGTGCCCCTGCTCTGATCACCCGTAGTGGGGGACAGGCCTCCACATATCCCTCAACCTGGACACCAATTTTGTTGCCTCCATTGGCTTGGGATTGGTTAGAGATCGCATCAGGGGATACTCCTAAATAAGGGTATGTCTACACTAGCTCGTTAGTTCAAGCTAAGTAGGGTAATTAGGGCAAGCGGAGTTGCAAATGAAGCCCGGGATTTAAATATCCCGGGCTTCATTTTCATGTCCCCGGACGCCGCCATTTTTAAATCCCCCTTTGTCCGAACTCCATGCCTGTGGCTACACGTGGCACGGAGTAGGTAGTCCACGAGGAGTAACGGTAGTTCAAATTAGGATTTTTAATTTGAACTACCTACTCCGTACCGCATGTAGCTGCGGGCACAGAGTTTGGACTAAGGGGGATTTAAAAATGGCGGCATCTGGTAACATGCAAATGAAGCCCAGGATATTTAAATTCCAGGCTTCATTTGCAACTCCACTTGCCCTAATTACCCTATCTAGCTCGAACTAACGAGCTAGTGTAGACGTACCCTAAATTATTATTTCCATCTCTGTGTCCTTCTCCCTTCCCACCTCCACCCTACAGCTCTCCCCATTTTCCACATATCTGTCACTTGGAGTACCCTAAAATGGCCACTAGCTGTCAGCAAGCATACATGTAATTTTGAGTCACAGTGCTGTTCAGATATGTCAGTGAATCTCTCCGAATACTCTCCTATTTCATGGAAAATTTTGTCCTCCCTGCAACCACCACAGGAAGTTAATTTCAGACCCTGAGCTTCATATTTCACTGCTTCTCATAATGTTCCCATCTCTGAAGTATCAAGATGCCCCATGTACATAAGTTAATGCAAGAATAAAACAACCATTTCCTATCGACCAGGATGGAGCCACCCAAGCTAACCTCCCTGTGAGGAGTGCAGAGAGAAGCCCAACATAGAATCATAGAACACTAGAACTGGAAGGGACTTTGAGACATCATCAAGTCCAATCCCTGCCCTCACAGCAGGACCCAGCACCATTTCATTTCTGATGGATGTCTGTCTAAACTGTTCTTAAAATATCTCCAGAGGTGGAGATTCCACAACCTCCCCAGGCAATGTATTCCAGTGTTTAGCCACTCTGACAGTTTTTCCTAATGTCCAATCTAAACCTCCCTTGCCATAATTTAAACCCATAGCTTCTTACACCCTATCATCAGACATCAACGAGAACAATTTTTGTCCCTCTTCTTTGTAACACCCTTTTAGATACTTGAAAACTGATGTCATGCCCCCTCTCAGTCTTCTCTTCTCTAAACTAAACAAGACCTTTTCTTTTAGTCTTCTCTCATAGCTCATGTTCTCTAGACCTTTAATCATTGTTGTTGCTCTTCTCTGGACTTTTTCCAATTTCTCCACATCTTTCTTGAAATGTGGTGCCCAGAACTGAGGCCTAATCAGTGTACAGTAGAGTGGAAGAATGACTTCTCGTGTCTTGCTCACAAAACTCCTGTTAATGCATCCCAGAATGCAACAGTATCATATTGCTGACTCATATTTAGCTTGTGGTCCACTATGACTCAAAGATCCCTTTCTGCAGTATCCTTCCTAGATAGTCGCTTCCCATTCTGTATGTCTGAAACGGAGTGTTCCTTCCTAAGTGGAGCACTTTGCATTTGTCCTTATTAAACTTCATCCTATTTACCTCAGACCATTTCTCCAGTTTGTCCAGATTGTTTTGAATTATGACCCTTTCCTCCAAAGCACTTGCAACCCCTCCCAGCTTGGTATCATCTGCAAATTTAAAAATGGGGCAGGAAGTTCAGGCTTAGTGTATGTCCATTCTGCCACCCTAGTTCAAACTAGGGTGGCTAATGTAGGCATTCGAACTTGCAAATGAAGTCCGGGATTTAAATATCCCGAGCTTCATTTGCATGTTCCCGGGCGGGCGCCATTTTTAAATGCCCGTAGTTTGAACTACCTGCCCGTGGCTACATGCGGCACAGACTAGGTAGTTTGAATTAAAGCTCCTAATTCGAACTACCGTTATTCCTCCTGCAAGTGTGCTTGCAAATTGGTAAATACAGAACGTATTTATTCATCACTGAAACACAGTCACATCTCTAATTCTTCCCTGTCTCATATTCCACACAACCATGTTATGTCCATATATTGGTATTCCTTCCTCCATAGCATCTTAAGATCTAGTATTTTCCATTTGTCCACTCAGCTAGGGTTCTCATCCAGGGCCGCATCTTCTCCCATCTTGATTTCTGCAATCTCTGGATCCCTGCTATCTATACCACCTCTCTCCAGTCCATTCAAAACCCAACTGCAAAGAGCTTTGCCTATCAATACCACAATCCCTTCTTCAGACCCCTCTAGAGACTCCTCCTCTTTCATCATACCAGGTTCATGTTCTCACCTTTAAAGGTCCTTCAAAATTCTACCTCCTGCTATTTCTGTGGTTTTGTCTCTAAGGGTACGTCTAAACTACGTGGCTCCGTCGACGAAGCCATGTAGATTTGTTTGTCTGGCAAAGGGAAATGAAGCCGCGATTATTTAAATCGCGGCTTCATTTAAATTTACATGGCTGCCGCGCTGAGCCGACAAACAGCTGATCAGCTGTTTGTCAGCTCAGCGTGGCAGCCATGTAAATTTAAATGAAGCCGCGATTATTTAAATCGCGGCTTCATTTAAATTTACATGGCTGCCGCGCTGAGCCGACAAACAGCTGATCAGCTGTTTGTCAGCTCAGCGTGGCAGCCATGTAAATTTAAATGAAGCCGCGATTATTTAAATCGCGGCTTCATTTCCCTTTGCCGATCAGCCTAATCTACATGGCTCCATCGAATTCAAAATAATTCAAAATAAGCTACCCAAATTTAGCTATGTCTATTGTGTAGTTTATTTCAAAATAGCTTATTTTGAAATTGGGAATGTCTGCACAGCACTTATTTCAAAATAGAGCATTCTTCCTCTAACTTCCCTTACTCCTCGTACAATGAGGGTTACAGGAGTCGTAGTAAGAATCCTCCAGCTTGACAGTATTTCAACATTATTTTGAAATAACACTAATTATTCCCTGGGCAGGGCAGGGTGACACAGGCCATGCTGACGGTCAGCAGCTGCTCCCTGGGGCTGGGGTGCCTGCCTGCCCCCTGTGGTCATTCCTGAGTATAACTGTCCCTGATATCATACCTCTTCCTTTCCGTTTGATGCAAAACAATCAAATTCCATCCACATCCCATTGTCCTGGCGTAACCAAACCCTGCTTTGAGTTATAAGAGGAAGCTACATATCAAATTTGGTGGTCCTAGCTCTTATCGTTCAGGTTTACAGGTAGACTAATGACACACAGACAGACAGACTCACAAAGTCTCATGTATATATATGAGCTAATTGTGTACCTAGCTAGTCTTTGTAACTGCTATCACTGTTATCCTCATCCTCCCTCCCCCAGTACCTTGTCTTGTCTTAAATTATATTGAAAGTTCTTTGGAACAGTGACTATCTCTTATCGTGTGTGTGAATACACTTAGTGCAATAGGATATTGATCCCAAATGAGGTCTTTTGAATGCTGCCATAATACAATTGATTAATAACCACCATATCTGGGGTAAAACATGACAACTATTTAACATAACACAATTCTACTATACAACATCAAAGGCTAGGAAATTAATTAAATAACAGAGAGATAGAATGTGATTATCTAGGACATTAGGACCAACACACCTATCACTGCATGAAGTACTAACAGATTTTTAACAACCTTGAGTGATTGGTGATCCTATTTTAGGCATCATACAAAGGAGAACACCTCCAAATTCCCCCAGAACCATACTGGGGCACTGGGATCAGCACTTCCTCTTCAGTTTTCTTTTAGCCTGGACACACGTGCACATGCACGTACACACACATGCCGTAAACAGCAAGACTTACCTGTTGAGGCTTCTTGACAATTGACCATAGGAAGAAACCAGTCTGCAAGATAAGGTGGGAAAGGAAACAATGGGGAAAGGACAGAAGAAGAGATTTCCATAAAATAGAATCTGTAGAATTATAATTAAGAATAATATTGTCATAAACTAGCTAATGCATGTACAGGAGATCATTGCCCTCCACTGGATGGAATGAGAACTGCTCAGCTCAAGTGTTAGGATCTATTGTTCTAAAAGCTAAAGGAGGTGGCTCCGTATTTTAAAGCGTTTCAGAGCAAGAGAATTGGAGTTCTAAGCCTAATGCAGTCATACAGTTCATGGACACAATAGTAACAGCTGTGGAGTTGTAAGGAGCCACAGATTTATTCCCAGATTTTGCTTTTCTGCAGCACCATTTGCATTTTACAAACATTAGTGAATTAAGCTTCACAAGCCCCCTGTGAGGAAAGTTAAGTATCACCCTACCTACTGTCTAGTAGAGGAAACTGAGGCACTGAGAGAAGAAGTGACTTGCTTGAGGTCACAGAGCTAATCATGGGTATAGTAAGGAGAAGAAGGCAGGTTTCCTTGTGCCCAGTCAACTACTGTAACCACCAAACTATCATCCCCCTCTGTTATGAAGAGCTACAGGCTCCCTGAGAATAGGCTGGAAGATCATTTATGTCCAGGTCCAAGCATATTATAAGGCGAGAAAAAAGGGACAGATGGAAAGCAATTGAGGCCACCTTATTGCTAAACAAGGAAGGAAGAAAACATCTACATAACTGTGGGGGGAAGCTTTGGTAGGAACAGGCTAGTTATATAGCGTAGTGCCAAGCAAATTAGAACTGGGACAGATGTATAAATGACCCACTGTGTAGTATACCATATTGGCCCTGTCAAATTAAGCCTAACACACTATGCCCTAGAGCTTTCTACCCGCATTCTGCCCGAGTTTATCACTAAAGCCACTGGGAGTTTTGCATGAGTAAGGACTACAGGATCAGGGATTGAAAGCCTTATTTACTTCTTATTTCAATAATAGTTACTTGTATACTACAGGGAAGAATTGGATCCATGGGCATAATTCAAATCTGCCACGAATCAACAGTTCTCTCAGGACCTTCTATGTCCAGTCCAAGCTGACTCCCCAACAATGACTGTGCAGCTGGCCATCTGCACTGGCCACTGATCAAGAAAGTGCCAGGTATTACACACATCACCCACATACAGGAACCCAGTGCTTCTCAAAGTTGTTCCTATTCTGGCCCGCCTCTTAATGAAGGCCCATACGCAGTAATTTCCATGGGGGGGTGTGTGGGTTTTTTTGTAAATGTGGACCACAAGGGTGTGAACACACCCCTCATCTCCTACAAGTACGTGGGGAAATCAACCCCTGCCTTCCCCCGCTGACCAGAGCATGGGGAAGGGAGGCTTGGGTAGTTCACTGCTCCTGCCTTCCCCTGGCTGGCTGAAGCACACTTACTTGGGGGATCATGAGGGAATGTTTTGTACCTGCATATGGGCCGGGAATGCTAACATGCAAAGCAGGAAAAACAGGGTTGTCCCCTTCTTTATTTCTTTGTGATGCAGAAGAAATCTCTGAAACACTGAACTTTTAAAAAAAATCTGCTTATTTTCTGCATTAGAAATTCATGTCTTGTCTAGCCTTCCCCTGCAGCCCCAAGAAGATTAAGGACAACTAGAAAATTGGTTGGATTATAAAATCCAAGCAACTAAGAGTCAGGATTTTTTATCATTATTTGTTTGCATTAACACCTAGGGTACGTTTACATAGTGGGGCTATTTCAGAATTCTGGAAGTATCCCAAAGTAGCTACCCCATATCTTTTGAACGTGCCCGCTATTTTGAGTTAGATCTCGAAATAGCGGATGCACTGTTTCAGCATACTTGAATCCCTCCTACCACATTAAGGGTTAAGGGATGTCTTGAAATAGCATGTGATTTCGAAATTTGGCACTCTGTAGACATGCCAAACTTCAAAATACGCTATTTTGAAATTCAGTCAAAATAAGATATGCAATTTGTGTAGTGCAAATTGAGTATCTTATTTTGAGTTTAGGGTGCTGTGTAGACACATCCCTATTTAATTCAAATTCCTAACAAACGCTTAGCAGGAAAGTACTTGTTAAAGTTGCATCCCTCTCACTAGCTAGGGGGGAGAAAAAGTACCACTCTGTTTATTTAGATCTCCAATTAGCTATTCAACAAAGTGAAGAGAGACCAACCTGATATTTCTCAGGGCTCACCTACACTTGAAATGCTTCAGTGGAACGTGCTGCAGTGGTGCTGCTGTAACACTTCAGTGTAAACATTACCTAACACAGATGTGAGTGATTATCCTACTGGCATAGATAATCCACATCACTGAGAGGCAATAACTAGGTCAGTGGAAGAATTCTTCTGTAGACCTAGCACTGTCTACAATACAGCTTAAGTCATCTTAACTACGCCCCTCAGTGTGTGGCTTTTTCATATGTGGCTGGGTGGATTTAACTTTTTAGAGTAGACCTGGCCTGATGTAAAAAAGCAAGAAGGAAAAAGCCCTTTTCAAGCCTCATTTTTTGCATCAGAAAAACACCAGAAAGGACACAACCTCTTTTTCTTTTTCTTTTGCAGGTCACTTTTAAGATCATGATTTTGCTGTGGCTACATCTCCTCCCTGCTCTGTGAGGGTACATCTATGGTGTGGAGCTATTTTGGGATTTGGAAATACCCCGAAATAGTTATTCTGCATCTATTGAAGCAGCCCATTATTTCAAAATAGATTTTGAAATAACAGGCGGCTTATTCAGACGTCCTGGTAGCCCTTGTTCCACGAGGGTTAAGGGGCATTTCGGAATTGTGAGTTATTTTGAAATTTGGCACTGTGTAGACAGCACCAAATTATGAAATAAACTATTTTGAAATAGCATTGAAATAAACTATGCAATTTTCATAGTGCAAATTGCATAACTTATTTCGAGCTAAGGGTGCGGTGTAGACACATCCTGAGTCATCAACTCAGATCTGCTCTCTGATAGCTACAGTACTTGTTTATGGGGAAAAGTACTATTAGGAAAAGAAACATGCCAGATCCAAACTAAATAATGGGGATGTCCCTGTCTAGATCCAAACATTTCAATACAGGCTGATTTTTAATGACGGAAAAATAGAACAAACTTGTTTTAATGAGAAGAGAGCAGTTATCTGGTTATATCCCTTATTCAATATGTATCCCCTAGTTCTCTGTCTCCTTGGGTTCAGCACTCTCTAGCCATTAAGATGGAAACATCCCTCATTCTCTTCTCCCTCTTTCCATCATACTCTTCAGTTTGGTGCTGCCTTTTCTGATTTTGGTGTCATCTGGAAATTTAATCCCATCTGAATTTATGCTAAAGAAATTTAGAGCACAGACAGACATGAAGCAGCAGGCAGAAAGAAACTTGGAATCCCGATCTTAACTGGATAGAAAAGCCTCTGGAAAGCTCCCAAGAGGCCTAGAATGGGAAAGAAGCAGCAAGAGGCATCAGTGCTTGAAGACTGACAAATGTTTTCCATCACTGTAGTAGAACAAGTTTCATGCACCAACTGAAAGTGCTCTGCATGCCAGGTCTCAGACACTGCTCCAAGCAGTGTCTGTGAGATAGGGGGCCCAACTACCTGCTGCTCCCTGTCCCATCCAGCTGAGAACACACTCCCATACTACAACTACACCTTTTTTTAAGCATTGTTCCGAATCCATCTCTTATGTATGTCTATGTCATGCCTAGTAATTCATTTCATTGCAAGGAACCACTCTTGATTTACACTGGTCTGAGAGGAGGCTCATAATATTTAGAGGAGCTGTTCACTGACTCCTCTCTCTCCCCAGCCTATTTCCATGCATCCCATCAACCATGCAGAACTAGGGGAACCGTTTGCATACATGTATTTCCCCTCCACTCATTCCCTGAACCTCTCCCTGCTCCCATCCATGCTGCTGAGGAGAAGGGGAATATATGGGCACCGATCATGGCTTCTCAAACTTCCCTCCAGCATTCTCTCCATTTTCTCCTGCACTCGCCCCTTTTTCTTTCCATGCAACTCTCCATCTCTGTGTGTGTCTTTCTCCTCTTGTCGGTACACGGTGGTCTGGAGCTTCCAAGGGGTAAAGAAGGGGGAGAGAGCCCTGATATGGCCTCCAGGGGATGGTGACTTACCAGCTGGAAAGACAAAGAGGGCTATGATGCACATCAGTGTGCGAGCTCTAAAAGCCATCATCCCTGTAAAGTGAGAGCGAGAGAAGTCAGATGGAAGCCTGGCACAAACTTCATCAAGGGCAGGGAGACCATCCC